AGATTCTGAGATTCTGAGATTCTGAGATTCTGAGATTCTGAGATTCTGAGATTCTGAGATTCTGAGATTCTGAGATTCTGAGATTCTGAGATTCTGAGATTCTGAGATTTTGAGATTCTGAGATTCTAAGATTCTGAGATTCTAAGATTCTGAGATTCTGAGATTCTGAGATTCTGAGATTCTGAGATTCTGAGATTCTGAGATTCTGAGATTCTGAGATTCTGAGATTCTGAGATTCTGAGATTCTGAGATTCTGAGATTCTGAGATTCTGAGATTCTGAGATTCTGAGATTCTGAGATTCTGGAGTTCTGAAATTCTGAGATTCTGAGATTCTGAGATTCTGAGATTCTGAGATTCTGAGATTCTGAGATTCTGAGATTCTGAGATTCTGAGATTCTGAGATTCTGAGATTCTGAGATTCTGAGATTCTGAGATTCTGAGATTCTGAGATTCTGAGATTCTGAGATTCTGAGATTCTGAGATTCTGAGATTCTGAGATTCTGAGATTCTGAGATTCTGAGATTCTGGAATTCTGAAATTCTGAAATTCTGAGGTTCGGAGATTCTCAGATTCTGACATTGTCTGTGACACCATAAAAACTACATGAATTTTCAGAATTTATTCATATTGAAATGGATCATTAAAAATCATCATCGTTGACTTTATACTTGTAGTTTGCCTTGCATAAACTGCATCATCTGTGCCACTTGCACAACCTTCTCCGCAGTTATTTCAGCATACTCATCGAAATTCTCCACGGCTTCTTTTCCACAGAAATCTTCCATAATCTGCTTAGTACATGCCTTGTTTTTCGAGAATTTATCAATTTGAATGGTAGGTTCTTTGCTATTGAAATCAACTCCCTTAAGACATTTGTATTCCGATAAATCCGGTGACTCTTTTTGAATTTCACTTATACATTCGGAAAATTTTGTGTTCCTCAGCTCGATTGCATTGCACGCCTCCGTTATCATGGATTTCTCGATGTCGTTGAAAAAGCAGAGAGGAGACATGCAGGCCTGGAAAAAAGTACGTTTTTGCCGGGCCTTAGCGTGCCTCCCCCGCTTTATGGCTTGTAATTTTGTTCATAGACAAGATACAGTTTTCCAAATAGTATCGTTTTGTAGTACTCATCGAGTTCTATCTTATCTATTTCAGTTAGTTCAAAAATAAAGATTCGGAAAGAAGCTAGGGCGGAGCCCGCGAAGGTCCGATAAAAGCCCATACCTTCACTAGATCACACGAATCCACCAAAGCCACAAGTCGTGAATCATTCACTTTCAAATGTTTCTGAGCCAAAGGAACCACTTTATGAGTAATATCCATCATTATTGGAATACATTTCATCGAATTGTACTTGAAATAAAAACTCTCACAGCTCGTAACGCTTTTTGGTTCTTCAGTAATCATCTTCAAAAAATCATCGTATTTTGTGGATAGCAAATTGTACTGCGAACTGGAGCACTCGGGTTTTGCTACTTCCAAGAAACAGGATTTCGCGAATTTGAACACTTCAGGCGTGGAGTTTTTCTGGAAATTCGAGAAAAATATAACATTTTTCAAACGGAAGGACTCGCCGAGAAAAAATCAAACTGCGTTGTGCAATTATAGACACCATCATACGCAGCTTGATAGAATTCTCTTAGACACGGTTCAATGTCTCCATTGGTTGAGTTTTTGGATGGTGAACATATTACGAAAATTGGGGAAACGAGGAGTAAAATTTTTGAGAACATTTTGGAATGGCTGGATTAGTGTGACAAGTGGAAAAGAGTGGTGACCGAATAAAGAGAGACTAATCTGTTTGAAAAATTTTTTTGATCGATTCAATAAGCATGGGAAACTCTACCCACTCAATAAGTACAAAATTTATGTGAAACGAATGAAAAGAGGCTTAAAAAGATGAATGAAAACCGATAACAATCTTATTGTTGGGGCGAATAATGTTATGAATGAGTTGACACGAAGTTGATATTGAACTTATTTTAACTAGCACTAACTATAAGCTACTAGCATTAAGCTTGCCTATCAACAATCACCAGTGTGTGTGTGTGTGCGTGTGTGTGCGTGTGTGCGTGTGCGTGTGTGTGTGTGTGTGTGTGTGCGTGTGTGTGTGTGTGTGTGTGTGTGTGTGTGTGTGTGTGTGTGTGTTTGTGTGTGTGTGTGTGTGTTTGTGTGTGTGTGTGTGTGTGTGTGTGTGTGTGTGTGTGTGTGTGTGTGTGTGTGTGTGTGTGTGTCCATAATTATCTGAATTTTCAGTGTGATAATGCCCATGCTTTCTTTTCTTCAAAATGTTAATTATGAGGTATTATGCAGACGTTCCTTGGTTTCATCACAGAAAAAGTGATTCTATTTTTCTCTGGTTATGAGATTAGAAGCCAGGATAATGTAGCGGCTACGGGCGACGGAAATCGACTGGTTAAGTTAACATTGAACTTTACGCTAATTTTTTGTTAACATTAAGCTTCCATTAAGCCATCATTGCGCTAAAATAAAGCTCAACTGAAGTACATGAAATTCAAGTCAAAATTAAGAGAACATTAAGCGTCATTCTATAAAAAAATATGCTCATTTGAAATTAACCTTAACATACTGAAATCTAAAGATCATTGAGTTAATGGTCATTCAAAAATTGAAACAAACAGTTAACAATTATTTATTTTATCGAAAAAAAGAAAAGTATAACCTTTTATCACTTTTAGTCATCTTCTTCATCATTCTCGATCCATCCTCATCCATCACCTCCGACATAGCCCTTTGCATTTTTGCTGCTTTTATCAGAAAATCTGCTGATAACTCTGCATATTTTTCAAAACCAACAACCGCCTTCTCTCCACAAATATCCATCATTATCTCCTTTGTACAATCCTTCATTTTTGTATAAAATCTGTATTTGTTCAGAATTGCTGGATCATAAAAATCGTCTCCTTCTAGACATTCGTATTCCGACAAATCTGGCGACTCTCTTTCGATCTTCCACTCACATGCCTTGAATTCGCTGTTCGACATTTTTACGGTTTCACAGAAGGTGACACTATAGAAACTTCAGTTTTGAAGTAGTAGCAGTTGGATGACATGCAAGTCTGAAAATTGAATTATTGATTTATCGATTTATTGCTCTAGATTCTTACCAGAGCATTATCACACAAGTCAATCAATTCCAAGACTCGACTATCATTGATTTTTGTGTGTCTTTTTTGTAAAACTGCATCTTTCAAACCCAGATCATCCATTAGCGGTTGGCATTTTATAGCATTGTACTTGAAATGAAAATTCTCACAATCTGATTCGTTTTTAGGCTTTTTGGTTATCACATCCAAGAAGTCTTGATATCTTGTTGATAGTAAATTGTACTGCGAAACCGAGCATTCCTCTTCAGCGATTTGCAAGAAACAAGATTTTCCAGATTTAAAAATTTCAGAAGTGGAGTTTTCCTGAAATGAAAGAAATTAAGTTCAGAAATTCAGTGATTCAAAAATTGAGAAATTCAAAAAGAAGGGGAAAAATCGAGAATTCAGACATTCCGAATTCCCGAAACTCGTAGAAACTTGGGAATTATTAAATTCCTAAAATCCGATGTTTCTGAAATTCAGGAATTCACCGATTTTGAGATTCTGAGATTCTGAGATTCTGAGATTCTGAGATTCTGAGATTCTGAGATTCTGAGATTCTGAGATTCTGAGATTCTGAGATTCTGAGATTCTGAGATTTTGAGATATTGAGATATTGAGATTCTAGGATTCTATGATTCTGAGATTTTGAGATTCTAAATATCTCAAAAATTTGAAATTCACAAGATCGAAATTTTAAAAATTCTAAATTCTAAATTCCAAAAAATCAAGAAATTGCAAAAAAAAACCAAAAAATCAGAGGAATTGAAAATAGAAAAAAATGTTCAAAAATTAGATAAACAATGAGAATTATCAAAAAATCAATATATTTTTAAAAAATTAGAAAAATCAGAAAATGAACTCACCACGAAAAAATCAAACTCCTTTGTACAATTATAGATTCCATCATAAGCAGCCTGATAGAATTCTTTGAGACATGGTGCAACGTCTCCGTTGGTGGAAGTGTTCGCCGGAGCGCAGTTGCACTGGTTCAGAAGAGCTAGAAATGTGAAGATTTTCAACATTTTGAATTTACTATTCCAAAATTGAAAATTCAAACAAAAATTCATTTCAGATAATCTGATTTAATCCGTACCAAAAATTCAACACTATGTATGAACTTATGCATTTTTTTTTCAAATTTCGTTCTGTTCAAATGTGGAAGTTGATTTTTCTATTATCCATTGCTACACATTCCACATGGTCCCGTCCATCAGCCGATATAGATGTCGCCCCATGCTTGAAGACGTTTTTCATGGCAGTCTACAGTGGTTCTTATAATTGTACAGAGGATTTTAATTTCACATCGGTAATTTCACAAAAAATATAAAAAATAGATTTTATTAAATATTTTCAAGTTCCAAACAAATCAAATTTTTCTAAAAATGAAAAAAGACCCGATTCACAGATTCTCAGAAGTTCCAAAAATTGAAAAAAAAAGAATTTCAGGAAAATGCCCTAACCCAACGAAAAGCTATATCTAAATAAAAACAACAGCATTTATCAAAAACTGACATAGTTAAAATTTTCAAAAAGGTAACGAAATTTATGTGTATTCTTTGGCGCTTCTAATTTTGTTACTTTTAACTTTGTTACTATTTGATAAATGCTGTTGTTTTTACTTAGATATTGTTACTAAAATCATAGAAAAAGTGCACAAATACAAATAAGCAATAAACGTTATAGTTCAAAATGAGCAACATGTTTCTAAAACTTTGGCTTCTGAAACGTCGGGTTCTGAACCGTCGTGTTTCTGAACCGTCGTTTTCGAAACTGTCGTTTTCTGAAACGTCCCGGAGCCATATTTTTTGCCCGGCGACGATGAACCCTGCGATCGAAAATTTACTGTGTACAAACTCATATGCCTTCGATACCGTATCTCAAAAATCGGTGTCGGGATACGGTATCGAAAGCGCAGGAAAATTTGAAGAATCGGAATTGGAAGATCGATAAATTCAAAATTCTGAGAATAACAATTGATTTTTACTATACCAACCTTGAAGCTTTCACATTGATCTATCAAATTGAGAAGTCTGCTATCGTTGATTTTTGGTTGCGTTTGAAAAATCAATTTCATCTTGCCGCGTAATGAAGTCAGCAATCCGAGACATTTAAATGCATTGGATCGGTAGTATGAATCTGTACAATTCTTGTCCTTTGGTTCTGTGGTCAAGCTCTTCACAAAGTTTTCGAATTTTGAAGAAATTTCAGTGAACTGTGACTGTGTACAAGTTTCACCGAGAATCTCAAGTGCACACGATTTTCCACTGATTAATGATTTTTGAGCGACAGTTTCATTGTTCTGAAGAATTCTTGAAAACTTAAAATCTTGAAAAGTTCAAATTATACCGATGCAAAATCATATTGACTTGTACAATTGTAGTTTTCACTGTATACAGCTGCATAAAAGTTTTCGATACAAGTGGTTATATTTGCTTCGGTTTGAAAAATAGAAGCAGCATTTCCATATGAGAAGGAAATTGAGAATAGTAGAAAAATCATTGAAACTGAAATAGATCGAACAATAGGTTGGTGGGGAGAATGCGATAGTTTGGACTTATGGGATTACAGTTATAAATCTGTCTCCAAATTTTTTTGAACTTCGTATTTGGGATTTCCACTTTGTATGAAAAATGCAATGGGAAGAGTTGCGAAAAATCAGATAAATACGTTTTAGGGAGCTTGAGAGATGAATTGTACATCTTCGCCTTTTTTATCCTGTCTTTTTTCGCATTTCTAGATGATTTCAAAAACAATTTTGCAAGTTTCCAATTTTTTCAAATTTTGGTCAATTTCAGAACTTTTTTTAATCGTTTGCAGAGTTTTCAATTTTTGAACATTCAAATTTGTCGAATTTTAAAAAATCGAGACTAGCTTTTCGAATAACTAACCAGTGGCTGACCGGCGGCTGACCGGCGGCTGACCGGTGGCTGACCGGCGGCTGACCGGCGGTTGATCGGCTGCTGATTAGGTAGTTCCACAGGTGATTCGCGCACTATCCGTTACGAATTCTCCGCCGTTCGCGCGCAATCTCTCGACCTCCAGCTGCAGTCGTATTCGGTCCGTACGCAAACTCCGTATCCTATCCGATTGCGAATGACGAAAAAACGGATCCGTTCGCGAACTCAGATTCGCGAAACTGACCCATTACGGATAGAACTTCCGCAGGTGTCAATTTTTAAAAATATTTAGTGAACAAGTTTTGATCGATTAATGAACAAGAACTTTTTAGCTGATTTGATGTCAAAGACAGAAAAGAAATCACAAGCCCAACTGGCTATTTGCATTTACGGCGTACATTTTAATCATCTCCTCCGCTCTTTCATCAAAATCCACGATTGCACCATCTCCACACGATTCCTTCATCATCTCCTTTGTGCATTCTTTATGGGTTGTGTGCAATTTTACTTGAGTTACAACATCCTTCGAATTGAAATCCATGCCCTCTAGGCAAGGGAATTTGTCGTTAGTTAGTGGATTGCTTTGCAATTTTGTAATGCAGACCATAAACTCGGAATTCACGAGATGTAACGTACCACATGTCATCGTTGGGGGTTCTTGGAAGCATGTCGGGCTGACACAGGTCTGAAATTTTTGGACATGTCGACACAAAGATAGACAGAACGGACGATATGATACCGTAAACCTAGGTCAGAGGGCCGGCGCGCATTTGTTGTTTTAAGGTTTCTCCGGAGGGCCCTTCTATTACAGGGCCATTTGAATTTTATGAACTCTTTTAGGAAAAATCAGACTTGTAATCCGGGCCTTTCCAGGGGCCTTCGCGGATCTTGCCATTGTTTTTTCAGAATCCTTATTTTCAGACCAACTAAATCAAATATGATAGAGCTCGACGAGTACTACAAAATGATACTATTTGGAGAACTGTATCTTGTTTGCGAACAAAGTTACAGGCGAAAAAGAGCGAAAAAAGCAGGCCCGGCCCGGCACGTCCAAAAAAAGCCACTTTATGGCCTGTAACTTTGTTCGCAGGCAAGATAGAGTATTCCGCATAATATCATTTCGTATTACTCGTCAAGCTCTATCATATCCGATTAAGTTGGTCAAAAATTTTTGATTCTGAAAGAAACTATGACAGGACCCGCGAAGGCCCGGGAAAGGCCCGTATTAAAAGTATGGGAAAAATGGCCATAAAAATAGAAGGACTCTTTCCAATTTGAGGTTCCTGATAGAAAGGCGCTTTTGGGGAACGGTAGAAAAAGAGACCCTTCTAGATCAGGATCACTGCACAAACCTTAAAACCTTCACATTGATCTATCAACTTGAGAACTCTGCTATCGTTAATTTTTGGTTGCATTTGCAGAATCAATTTGGATTTCTCGCCTAACGAATTCAGCGATTCCATACATTTCAATGCATTGTATTTGTAATATGAATCTATACAATTCTTGTCCTTTGGTTCTGTGGTCAAGCTCTTCACAAAGTTTTCGAATTTTGAAAAAATTTCAGTGAACTGTGACTGTGTACAAGCTTTACCAAGAATCTCAAGTGCACACGATTTTCCACTGATTAATGATTTTTGTGCGACAGTTTCATTGTTCTGAAAAATTCACGAAAGCTTAAAATCTTGAAAAATTAAAATCATACCGATGCAAAATTATATTGACTTGTACAATTGTAGTTTTCACTGTAAACAGCTGTATAAAACTCTTTTACACAAGTAGATAAATCTGTTTCGGTTTTATTGATAGAAGCAGCATTTCCAAATGAGAAGGAAATCAAAAATAGTAGAAAAATCATAATCGAATTTGAAATAGAATACAAAATCGATTGGTGGCGAGAATGTGACGGTTTGGTCTTATGGGATTACAGTTATAAATCTGTCTCCAAATTTTTGAACTATTTTTTGGAGTTTAATCTTTGTATAAAAATTTCAATGGGAAGAGTTTGAAAACATCGACCGAAGGTTGAACACATAGTATAAGTACGAAAAATACACTTTCAGGGAACTTAAAAAGTATTGTATAATATCGTTTTGTAGTACTCGTCGAGCTCTATCATTGTCGCGGAAATATGTCACTATTCCACGACCTCAGTTAGGTAAACCTCAAATTCCTATTCATCATTCAAATAGAAAGAAGATTTATAAACGAGACGACCTCTGACCATCAAAACTCCTTATCAATTAAACGATCTGCCCTGACATTCCGAAGATCTACGTGGAACTCGAGGGAATTTGCTATAAAAGGGAATGGATTTGCCATAATAATCAGTATTCGTCCTCTGCTCATTAGAAGCCTCCGACCAATTGATCTATTCCGCCGTCCAAAATGTCTTTGGATCTCAAGACCTCTGCTCTTCCGGCCGTGCCACCGACAAATGCACCTCCAACATCCAACATGGAACACTCCGGATTAGAAGCGTCAAATGACAGCAAACCGAAGGGAACTGGTCAGCAACCTCTCATGTATTGTCTCAATAAATTATTCTTTCTGAACTGTTTGTATTTTGCTCTAATTCGCTCTCAAAGGTCTACAAAGACTTTGTGTAGCGACAATCATATCCAATTTAGGTGGTTTAAAAATTTTGATTCTGAAATAAACTATGGTAGGGCCCGCGAAGGCCCGGGAAAGGCCCGAATTACAAGTATGTTGCAAATGACATTTTTCAGACTTTTCCAGAAAACTCGGGTAGTTTTTTTTTCAAGATTTTACTACAAAATTTGCCCGCTAGATGTAATTGGTGGTCCCGAATCCGTTTTTGAAAAAATTAGATTGATACCTCTCTTGGTTCTCAAGCTATGGCCCAAAACATGAATAAACCAACAACGCACTTGTATCAGGTCACTCGGTTCCACCCTTTATTATGTAAATGAACTGTTTAGAAATTCCAAACACAAATATTGCCACATCACAGTCGAGTGTTTGAGTGTAGGTTGAGTGGTTGTCTTCCTCAGTCTCAATTTTTTTGCGGGTTCAAATAAGTTACCTTCCTCAGTTTTTTTTTTGTTTATTTGTTATTTAAACTGAGTTTTATATGTTTAGGACACCCTCTAAATGTTGAAAAAACTTTATTTTTGATTTTTTGGCTTTTGCATGCGATCGTACTTTGCTAAATGCTTGTTCTCTTCAGGAAACTCTATCTAATTGAAATTCGCTGCAAAAAATGACCGAAGCGAAGAAGAACATCGTTCTCAAAAGTCACGAGAATATTGTTAAAGGAGCTCAAGATGTGAGAGAGGTAAGTTAATTATTGATAGCGAGATTACTTTTGGAAATTAAGTTGTTACACCTTTTCAGTATCGTGGACTGGAGTTAACTAACGGACTCCGCATTCTTTTGGTGTCCGATCCAACAACAGACCAATCGGCAGTGGCACTCGACGTCAAAGTCGGAAGCTTCATGGATCCATGGGAGATCCCTGGTCTTGCACACCTCTGTGATCACATGCTGTTCATGGGAACTGCTAAATATCCATCTGAGAATGAGTACTGTAAGTTTCTCGCAAGTCACGCAGGGGAGTCCAATGCGTACACTGGAACCGATTATGCCAACTACCACTTCGATGTGCAGCCAGAACAACTACCTGGGGCTATCGATCGTTTTGTTCAGTTTTTCTTGTCTCCGCTATTCACAGAGAGTGCAACAGAACGTGAAGTATGCGCCGTTGACTCGGAACACAAGAACATCTTGAACAACGACTCACGGCGTGTAAAACAAGTTTACCGTTATCGTTCGAAGCCTGGATATGACTTTGGAAAGTTTGGAACAGGTAACAAGAAAACGCTGATGGAAGATGCTTGGAAGCAGGGCATATAACTTCGTGATGCTTTGCTGCAGTTCCACAAAGAGTGGTACAGTTCAAACATGTAAGTTTCTAGACGTGATTTTAGGTCCAGTTAGAATTTTCAGTATGTGTTGCTGCATCGTTGGAAAGTAATCACTTGATGTTTTGGAATCGTATTTAGGTACATATGAGTTTGATGCAATTGAAAACAAGAAGGTTACTCGAAAAGTGTGGAACGATCCCCCATATGGTCCCGAGCAATTAGGAAAAAAAGTTGAAGCTGTCCCAATCAAGGACTCTAAATGGTTGTCGATCAGCTTCCCATTTCCAGATCTTGACAGCGAATATAAATCTCAACCAGGCTATTATATCTGTGAGTTACGCAGTAGACTCAGTTTTAAACTATTTGAAACAATTTTCAGCTCATTTAATTCAACATGAAGCCCCTGGATCTTTGCTTTCTGAACTCAAACGGCGCGGATGGGTTAGCGAATTGGAATCTGGTTTTCACACGCCGGCGTCCGCATTGTTGACAGAGGACCCGAGGTCAGTCGAGACCGGTCCGATGTCCTAACCAGAGAGACTTGTTACCTGAAAAGACCCCAAATAAACCCCCCAAAGGTGTAAGCTAAGCGGTGCAAGTGGATGACAGTACACAATCTATTCAAATCCAAATTTATTGAAGGAAAACGGATCTGAATAAACGCCAAAGACATATGAATTGGGTAAGAAAGCAATACAGAAAAATAGGCAAAGGTGTAGGGCTAAAACCCCCCTGGGAGCTACCGGGGGGAAACCTTGCGGCCTCAAAACTGTAGCTAACAACCAACTCAATGCCAAACGTAAGCAATAACCTGAAACAATAATTAGAAGACGAAAGAGACCGTAAACGGTCAAAAGAAAAGGGGAGAGAAACACAGTCTCTCGAGCAACGAACGAATCTGACGCGAGCGCCCTTCGGCCGCTCATGTCGGCGCCAATGCCGAGCTGTGCGACGCGGTCGCGGCGCGGTTGGCGATTATTCAAATAATAATGAGTGTTAGTGAACAGAACAAAGGCAATTAGAATTGTGGAACGGAAGGGAAAATAAGGGGAAAGGATATGACCCGATTAAAGCGGATAACCCAGAGGGATTTTATGGGGAAAATCGGGGAACTCTGGGTTATAACGCTTTCAGGTTGTCATTGTCCCAGGACAATGGGGAAAAATGACAACACGCATTCGCATTTTTCACGGTGTCTATGGATCTGAGTAATAATGGATTAGATCATGTCGATGAGATTATTGAGCTCATGTTCAACTACATCGGAATGCTTAAAGCTGAAGGACCGAAAGAATGGATTCACAAAGAGTTGGCTGAACTGAGCGCTGTTCGATTCCGTTTCAAAGACAAGGAGCACCAATGAGTCTGGCTATCAATGCAGCATCAAAACTTCGATATATTCCGTTTGAGGACATCCTTTCTTCAAGTTATCTTTTAACAAAATACGATCCAGAACGAATTAAAGAGCTTCTTGATAAATTGACACCCGCTAACATGTACGTTCGAGTTGTAGCTCGAAAGTTCAAGGGGCAAGAAGGAAGTACCATCGAGCCAATATTTGGGACTGAATTTATAGAGAAGGACATTGATGAAGTAACAATGCAGAATTACGAGAACGCTCTTAAAACAAGCCATCCTGCTTTCCGTCTGCCCAAGAAAAACGGATACATTGCAACCAATTTTGACCAGAAGCCACGTGAGCCCATTAAGAGTGGCCACCCAAGACTAATTGTTGATGATAGCTGGAGTCGAGTTTGGTTCAAACAGGACGATGAGTATAATATGCCAAAACAAGAGATTAGGTTTGTTGTGACTTGCCCAGTTGTATACCAAGATCCTCGCTCTTCGCTTCTTTTCAAACTCTGGCTTTCGTGCCTTGGCGTAAGTTTCCCCTATTATCTGTTAAAACAAACTACCAGTTTTACAGGACATTCTCTGTGAAGAGACATACTACACAGATTTGGCTAATTTAAATGGCTATGTCGAATATAGCTTATATGGTGTTGAAATGAAAGTAAGCGAGAGCCAGGAACAGCAGTTTTGTGTTTTCTCTTTCAAACCTATATCTCGTATTAACAACCTTCTCGGTTTCCTGTTGAACTAATACCGTTTGAGCATCTCTGGGTCTTATTTGAAACAAAGTTTTTATTTATTTCCAGGTCAACGGATACAATGAGAAGCAGTATCAGTTCACAAAAGATTTGACAAAACGCATGGTCAACCTTTAGATCGACAAGATCTTTGATGGAAAATCTCGCAGACCACGCTTTATCTCAACCGATTTCTCTTTGTCCATATTATTATCAGCTGATCGTATCAGACAAAATTTGGAGCAAAAAACAGTTGTTGGCAGAATGCGACACACTCACACTAGAAGATGTTCAGAACTTTGCCAAGAAAATTTTTGCAGCATTCCATTTAGAGCATCTCGTTTATGGGAACTCTACTGAAAAGGAAGTTGTCAAAAGAACTGCTTGAAATCCTGAAGGATGCTTTTCTAAACTCCAGACCTCTTTATCGCAATGAGCACTGCAAACGGCGTGAGGTGCAGTTGAACAAAGGGGATGAGTACATCTACAGGCACCTTCAGAAGACACACGATGTTGGTTGTGTTGATGTTTCATTTCAAATTGGAGTTCAGAACACAAATGATAATGCAATGATTTGTCTTATTGATTAGCTGATTGAAGAACGAGCATTCAACACTTTGAGAACTAAAGAAGCTCTTGGTGGGTTAGTAGAAAGTAGGGTTCCGAATTTGAAAAAGAGGGATGAGCTTTTACGTGAAAATAAGCTTTTCATAGCTCATTAAGGCTCATTTGATTTTGAATAAGTTTTTTGAAAAAAACAAAAAAACTCACGTGACTCTTTTTTAGCTTTATCAAAAAGCTCATAAAGGCTCATGAGGCTCATTCTGTGATTTTCAATAAAAAGCTCATTATGGCTCATTATGTAATGCTTTCCGACAAGAACTGACATCTTCATTCGTGGTATTTTGAGCAGGTGAGGAATATATGTAATTTAATAATAGAAAATATGAAATGAGTACGAAAAAGTACATTCGTGAAAACAAAACGATGAACAGAGGGTGGGGAAAGGATCAATTCAATTCGAAAGGATTATTTCAAAAATGTTCTGTGTGAAAATTTTGAAAGAATTAAACAAATTTTATTCGAAAATTTATTTTTTTTTATCGAAAAAAATTATCCAAGTAGTGCTCCGAGGACATTGTTGGCGATGCGCTCTCCTGGTGCTGAAATTCGAAAATTGAATTTTTGAAAAATTTAATGAAACTAACTGCTTCGTCCTCCTCCACCACGTCCTCCGCCATTGTTGAATCCTGGAAAAAATAACTTTTAAAAATTCATGAAACTTTCAGTCAATTTATCTGATTTCCTGTAAAGGATAATGTTTATCATATCATCAAAAACATTTTGTTAGTTGAAAATTTTTCAATACCTTTTACACGAATTGAAATAAATTGGGTCAAAGTATAAAGTGCAATATTTTCAAAATTTTCAGAAAATGTGGTCAAAATTGATGGTTGGAGCACCAATTACGGCATGTGAAGGATTACAATTATTCAATATTTTATTTTGAATTTTTCAAAAAATATCAAGTTCCCTTACCTCCATTGTTTCCTCCACGTCCTCCGCCGTTTCCACCGCGTCCTCCTCCATTATCGAATCCTAAAAATCCGGATATACAGACACACAGACAGACAACATACCTCCACGTCCACCGCCGTTGTTTCCTCCACGGCCACCACCATTGCCCCATCCTGTCAAAAATTGGGATTTTCAAATTTTGGTTTTCTAGAATTTTCTTACCATCGTTTCCACTACGTCCTCCTCCATTGAAGCCTCCGCGACCACCTCCTCCATTGTTACCCCAACCTGAATGTGAAAAATGAAATTTAGAAAAACCCATGAACCCATGAACCCATGAACCCATGAACCCATGAACCCATGAACCCATGAACCCATGAACCCATGAACCCATGAACCCATGAACCCATGAACCCATGAACCCATGAACCTATGAACCCATGAACCCATGAACCAGGCCTGTGCGGCAACAATTTCGGCAATTGCCGATTGCCGAAATTGCCGAATTTTTGTTGCCTAATTGCCGTTGCCGATTTCGGCAATTTCGGCAACTGAAATTTTTTTGAATTTAGAGATTTTCACAATTTTCTTAGTCAAAAAAATGATTTCGAAGTTCGAAAAATCAAATTTTGAATATACCATCATCCCTCAGAGTGAATTTTAGAGGAAATGTGTCCCAATAATCATCAAAAATACTTGCATCGGATCTAAAAATGAACTTCAAATTTGTGAGCATAGGAGAAAAATAGATATGTCTCAAATCCAATTTGTCTAAAAATCTCTAGAGAACGTGAGTCGTGAGTTGCCTAACAAGTTGAGCGCACTATTTTCAAAACTCACAATCGGAACAAATATTTTCAACCATTGGAATACCCTCTATTGCTAAAGAGAAATAGTTTGCATAAAAAATGTGGTCTTGAGTTGCCAATTTTTGTAATTACTTTTTTAAGGAACTTATGAAACACATTTTCTGTAGTTCTGAGCCTGATAGAAGCATTTTCAGGCGAGTTACGCATCGATTTTACTATAAAAAAAAGACGCAAAACTTTTGTGCCGAAAATTGCCGAAAATTGCCGAAATTGCCGAAATTTTTGCAATTGCCGAGTTGCCGAACGTTGCCGAAAAGTATTCGGCATATTGCCGAGTTGCCGAATTGCCGAAAAAGTTTTGTTGCCGCACAGGCCTGCCATGAACCCATGAACCCATGAACCCATGAACCCATGAACCCATGAACCCATGAACCCATGAACCCATGAACCCATGAACCCATGAACCCATGAACCCATGAACCCATGAACCCATGAACCCATGAACCCATGAACCCATGAACCCATGAACCCATGAACCCATGAACCCATGAACCCATGAACCCATGAACCCATGAACCCATGAACCCATGAACCCATGAACCCATGAACCCATGAACCCATGAACCCATGAACCCATGAACCCATGAACCCATGAACCCATGAACCCATGAACCCATGAACCCATGAACCCATGAACCCATGAACCCATGTTTTTTTGCATTTCTTAGAATTTTTTCTTTTTCAGCACTATTTGGAATTTTTTTTGGGATTTCTAATTTTCTGAAAATTGAGATGTTGAATCTGAAAGTATTTACGATACTTGCAAAATCAGGGCCCGGCCCGACCCGGCTGGCCCGGGTTCTCCAAATTTGAAAAAAATTGAAATTTCAGGAATTTTTTCAAATTTTTTTGTGAAAGAACTATTTTTTATGAACACCCTTATCTTGAAAAACTTTTTTCTTGTCAGAGAAATCGTCCATTTCTTTCTGTTGACCCCAAAAAACATTTTTTTGAAAGACAGAAAATTTTTTTTCCGAAAATCCGGGTCGAGACGGTCCGGGCCGGGCTCTGAAAATTCTGAAAAAAGCCCGGCCCGGCCCGTTGCAAGTATGGTGGTATTTACTTGTGATTTTTTGTCCTATTCTATCATTTGTCCTTTTGGCCGACATTTCTCAAGTATACATTACACAAAACACGAAAAATTTCACTTCAAAACTTTGTTTCCTCATTCCTTTGTAATTTTATGTCTTCTCGAAACTTTTGTCTTGTCTTTTCTCTTTTTTAGGTCGTCGTGACCCGACCTTCAAAATTCTGAGACAACAAAGAAGGCGTGAGGAGGAAGTTTTTCGAAAAAATTGAGATAAAAAAGAGATATGTAGAAAACAAAACGGAATTTTTTTCTCATTTTTCTTTGCATTCGTTCTTTGTATCCAATTTTGAATAACTCACTTTTTCTGTTTTTTTAGCAATGTTTGGCTCTGTTCTAGTTTCGAGGTCTCAAGAAAAAAGGTCCCGAAAAAATAGTGGTCCTAAAAAATAAAGAAATAGCGGCCTTCAATTTCTTGGTATTTTTGGTTTAAAAATTCGAGCTTTATTCAGTGTCTCTACTTTTTAAAGACAATTTCAGTATGCTTAAACTGACAACTTTGTGCTTCTGGCAATTCTCGGTGTTAGTGTAGCTCAATGGGGTCCAGGACCGGGATTCCATGGTGGACCAGGAGGATTCCACGGAGGTCCAGGAGGTTTCGGAGGACCAGGTGGACGTGGAGGATTTGGAGGAAATAATGGAGGTGGGTTTTGAAGAATGGGTTCATGGGTTCATGGGTTCATGGGTTCATGGGTTCATGGGTTCATGGGTTCATGGGTTCATGGGTTCATGGGTTCATGGGTTCATGGGTTCATGGGTTCATGGGTTCATGGGTTCATGGGTTCATGGGTTCATGGGTTCATGGCAGGCCTGTGCGGCAACAAAACTTTTTCGGCAATTCGGCAACTCGGCAATATGCCGAATACTTTTCGGCAACGTTCGGCAACTCGGCAATTGCAAAAATTTCGGCAATTTCGGCAATTTTCGGCAATTTTCGGCAACAAAAGTTTTGCGTCTTTTTTTTATAGTAAAATCGATGCGTAACTCGCCTGAAAATGCTTCTATCAGGCTCAAAACTACAGAAAATGTGTTTCATAAGTT